AGAGAGAGAGAGAGAGAGAGAGAGAGAGAGAGAGAGAGAAGGAGAGAAATGGATGATAGATGATAAATCTATCTCTATCTATCTATCTATCTATCTATCTATCTATCTATCTATCTATCTATCTATCTATCTATCTATCTATCTATCTATCTATCTATCTATCTATCTATGTCTATCTTTATATCTATATCCTATCTGTCTGTCTGTCTATCTGTCTATCTATCTATAGACAGGCGGGCGCAGAGGCAGGCGGTTACATAAATCGGCTCCCAGATCTCCTTTTATTCCAACTCTGCCGCCGTCGGCTGCCGACGAAAGCTTAGTGACTTTTTATCTACTGGCTTGTTTGCATTAAACGGTCTGGTTATTTTATCCTGGTGTTCACTTTTCTTTTAATTTGTATTATGATGCCCAGGATTCGCATTTTTAGTATTATTAAGGTCTATCTATCTATCTATCTGTCTGTCTGTCTGTCTGTCTGTCTGTCTGTCTGTCTGTCTGTTTATCTATCACGGCTGGCTGAGGAATTCTGGGAGTTGAAGTCCACAAGTCATAAAGGGGCCAAGTTTGAAGACCCCTGGTCTAACCTCTGTTCAAGCAGGAGACCCTATACTATTCTGGACTAATGGCTGTCCAAATGCTTCTTGAAAGCTTCCAGTGATGGAGCATCCACAACTTCTGGAGGAAAGTTGTTCTACAGATTAATTGTTCTGTCAGGAAATTTCTCCTTAATTCCAGGTTGCCTCTCTCCTTGATTAGTGTCCATCCATTGCTTCTTGTCCTGTTTCCAGGTGCTTTGGAGAATAGCTTGACTCCCTCTTCTTTGGGGCAGCCCCTGAAATACTGGAACACTGCTATCATGCCACCCCTATATTTGTATTATAAATATATATATATAGTAACGTGGTCTTGCAAGTCTGAATCCGTTTCTCCTCTTTCTTTTATCTTTGGGAGGACTAGAGAGAGTTTTTCTGAGGTATTTTCTCAAATTACAGTCCTGCCTCAGACTCACGTTTCCTTCATCTGATTGTTGCCTTGATGACTGCATTTTCTCCTCTCCCTCCAGGCCATCCCCCTGGCCCACCACATCAGGATTCAACCCTTCACACCCACTCCTTAGTTCAGAAATAATGAAAAAATTATAGCTTTTAAACATAAAAAACCCCGAAAGCTCTCAAATAACATGGAAGAATTTATCAATCAGTTTAAACCGGGGCCTTTAATATGTGTGAACTTTCACTCCCAGAATTCCTCAACCAGCCATTCTAGCTGGGGAATTCTGGGAGTTGAAGTCCGCAAGTCTTAAAGTTGCCAAGGTTGGAGACCCCTGGTTTAAACCTGTGAAAACAGGCGACGCCTTAAAAAAAAGGAGAAAGTAAAGACGGTCCTACCTTTAAAATAAATAAATAAATAAATGGTCAAAAGTATAAGAGTACATTTTGGCATCAGAGACTGTGCATTGAAAGACCGCATTTCAGCATTACCTGATAACTAGAAACGCTGTGTAATACACAAGGCCGGTAATATTTGGAAAGTATTAATCAAATCAAATTTAATTAAACGAATTAAATCAAATTAACCAATTTTTCAAAAAGGATTAGAGCTGCAAGTCATGAAAAAAACGTTATTTGTCTAAGTAGGATAAAACTATTGATAAAAAAATCTTGAACTAGCATTCCATGTTAAATTATAATTTAAAACTCCTAAGAAATAAACAATGGGAACCAAGGAATATATTCCTTTGCCAAATTGCTTCAATGGAACAAATAAAATTACTGCATATAATGAACTGATTTAACCTTTTTCTTTCTTCTTTCTTTCTTTCTTTCTTTTCTTTCTTTCTTTCTTTCTTTCTTTCTTTCTTTCTTTCTTTCTCTCTCTCTCTCTCTCTCTCTCTCTCTCTCTCTCTCTCTCTCTCTCTCTCTCCCTTCCTACCTACCTACCTACCTACATACCTACCTACCTACCCACCTACTTTTTATTGCATATATAACTTAATTTTACAGTCTGCATCTTTTGGGCATTTTCAATTATTTCTATACTTTTAAAGTATACATTCTTTTTTTTTCTTCTGCAGGAGCTCACATTTGTTATAGTTCTAATTAAACAATGAAAAGAGATGTGTATCTAATGAAGACTACACTTTCCACTCTGCAAAATCTTATTTTATTTTTTTAACGGGGTTGTTCATAAACCAATATATAAATCCAACGATGTTAAATTTAGCCACACTAAAATTAAAACACCAGATAAGCTCACTGAGGCCTTTTAAAGTCCTTTAAGATAACACAATTGCAACATAAACAGACTAAGCCTTGTTAGCAAGTCCTGGATATATAACAAATAACGAAACATCAAGAGACTATAAGGAAGCTACTTTGATCTTTTCCAGTCTTGTGTCTAATTTCTTGCATTTAGACCAAATGAAACCAACATGGACAATACTTCGTTTGTTCCCCATACATCATCACGAATCAAATCATCCACAGCTACCTTGGATTGTCTCATAATATCAGAGCCACATAAATGCTGGGCATTTGAATATTTGAATGTAGCCCTTGAAAACAGGCAGGGAGAATAAGGAATAATAACATACTCACCTTGACAGCCCACAGTAGGATCACCCCAGAAATATTCCTGACATTCCGTACAGGTGCGTCCCCCGAATCCTGGCATACATTGGCACTGCCCGGTGAACTATTAATTTTAAAAAAAGAAGGTGGAGGGAAACAACTTTAAATCAGTGATTAATCAATACTAAAGCCAGGCTGGTCATAATACGGATCCATAATTAGGAACTTTCACATTTTTTTTATTATGGGCAATTCGCCCAGCCTCTCTTCTTCTACTAATTCTATCCCTTCTAAATCATGGCGGACACTATGCAAGAAGAACATAGAATATAGAATCATAGGGCTGAAAAGGACCTCGGAGATCTTCTAGTCCAGTGGTTCTCAACATTTTAATGCCGCGACCCCAACCGGTCGTAAGTCGAGGACTAAACCGGTCGTAAGTCAAGGACTAAACCGGTCGTAAGTCGAGGACTACCCAACCGGTCGTAAGTCGACGACTTTCCCTGCCCGGGAGCGCCGCGCATGCGTGGTTCCGCCCCCTGCGCCGGCCGAGGCGTAGCTGGCAAGTGGCAGAGATGGAGCAGGCCGACCACCAGCTGGCCCAGCCCAAGGGAGGTAAGGCACCTGCCGGAAAAGGGGAAAAAAATGGCGGACAAAAAAAATGGCGGACAGCCTTGCTTGGCGACCCCCATGAAATGGTCGATCGACCCCAAATGGGGTCCCGACCCACAGGTTGAGAACCACTGTTCTAGTCCAACCCCTGCTCAAGGCAGGAGCCTTCTACCATCCCAGTCAAACGGTTGTCCAGTCTCTTCTTGAAAACCCCCAGTGTTGGAGCATCCACAACTTCTGGAGGCAAGCTGTTCCACTGGTTAATTGTTCTCACTGTCAGGGAATTTCTCCCTACTGCTTGTTAAGATTTCTCTTAAACAATCTTCCGCCCATTTTTAATTGTCCTGCCCTCAAGGAGAATAAACCAATCTCCTCTTCTTTGTGACAGCCCCTCAAGTAGTGGCAGACACTCATCATGTCCTACGTAGCCCTTCTCTTTGATAGGCTAGACCAGGGGTAGGCAACCTTGGCTCTTTTAGGACTCGTGGACTTCAACTCCCAGAATTCCTGACCAGCATGGCTCAGCTTGGAAACCTCTCCTTTTCCCCTCAGCATGGCTGGCTTAGGAATTCTGGGAGTTGAAGTCCACGAGTCATGAAGGGGCCATAGTTCCCCCCTGCTGGCTCAGGAATTCTGGGAGTTGAAGTCCACGAGTCCACGAATACTGATATATAGCTATTTGTCATATGCTTTTTGTCACTTACTCAGGGTGTCTGTGCAAGGCATGATTGAAATAAAGTCAAGATGGAACCCATGACCCAACCAGCTTTCTTGCCTAAGGCGGGACTACAACTCACTGTCTCCCTGTGATTGACCCAAAGTCACCAAGCTGGCTTTCTTGCCTAAGGCGGGACTAGAACTCACTGTCTCCCTGTGATTGGCCCAAAGTCACCCAGCTGGCTTTCTTGCCTAAGGCGGGACTAGAACTCACTGTCTCCCAGTTATTGGCCCAAAGTCACCCAGCTGGCTTTCTTACCTAAGGCGGGACTAGAATTCACTGTCTCCCTGTGATTGGCCCAAAGTCATCCAGCTGGCTTTCTTGCCTAAGGCAGGACTAGAACTCACTGTCTCTCAGTGATTGGCCCAAAGTCACCCAGCTGGCTTTCTTGCCTAAGGCGGGACTACAACTCACTGTATCCCTGTGATTGGCCAAAAGTCACCCAGCTGGCTTTCTTACCTAAGGCGGGACTAGAACTCACTGTCTCCCAGCGATTGGCCCAAAGTCACCCAGCTGGCTTTCTTGCCTAAGGCGGGACTAGAATTCACTGTCTCCCTGTGATTGGCCAGCTGGCTTTCTTGTCTAAGGCAGGACTAGAACTCTCAGTCTCCTGGTTTCTAGCCCAGTACCTTAACCACAACGCCAAAATGTCTCTCTAAGGCGGGACTAGAACTCACTGTCTCCCAGTGATTGGCCCATTTCCTGGAAGATGAGTTTGGATCTCAATGGTCTGGAAATCTTAACCCAGCCAGAGTTGGTCTCCACCTGCCACCCTTAGCTCCGACAAAGCCTCCTCACCTCGTTGCAGGACGGGCCGAAGGAATGCTCCAGATTGCAGGCGCAGGGTTCGCATCCGGTCCCGCTGCTGAGTTGCCACGTGTTTGGAGCGCAGTGATCACAATTCTGCCCGACCACGTTAGGGAGACACTGACACTGGCCTGTTTCTCTCTCACACTCACAGTCTTCGGCGCTGCTGCAGCGCTGACGTACCGTCCCCAGATAATTGCAGACACACTCTGGAAGGGAGGAGTAGCAAAAACTACCGCCATGTCTTGCAGTGTGTTTGTTGGAAGAAGAAGTGATACCCAAAAAAGGGAGAGAAGATCTCAGATCTCACACTTACAACCGTTGCAGCATCGCCATGATCACAGGATCAAAATTCGGGTGCTTGGATTAGGCTGAAAAACTGGGGTTTTTTTTATCTACTAGAGAGGATCCTAAACTCCCAATTAGTGGGCTAAAAGAAGATTTTGAGACAAGGGGAAATTTGATTACTAGATTTAAAAATAGTTGGAAAATAGTAAAAAAAAATAAGGGATTAATCTGTTTAATATTGAGGATTTAAACTATAAGGGAAATCCCTAACTATTAGGAAATAGATTTGAACTATGGATTAGCCCAAATAATATAGATGATAGATTTGAGTTAATAAAGGATACTCTTATTATTAAGGTGGTGAGGTACTAGGGTGAGAAATAGAAAACGTTTATGAAATAGAATAAGAATATATTTAAGTAAGTAATGTGTATATTTTAGACATTATATTTTTTATGAAGTGAGACAAAGGAAATTTTGGCTACCCAAAATTTAAACATTATGGATATTAAAGGTGAAATTGGACTATTGTAATTCAAAACTAAAAATTAGGTAAAACTTAATAACAGGATATAGATTGTTTATCAAGATCTACTAAGATATGTTTAAGGAAAAAAATGTATCGATAAATGTTATAATGAAGTTTTCACTGAGTTTGATACAATTAGAAATTTACTAGCTTAAATACGACATAGCAAATGTTTAGGGAAACAGAGAAGAAATTGTGATGATGTAACCTGAGATATGTACTAAAGATTTTGTTATTGAACTATTGATTAACCCAATCACCACGTTCCCTTCCAAATACTTAAATGTAAAACTGGAAAACCAATAAAATATTATCAAAAATAAAAAAATTTCAGGTGCTTGGAAACTGGCATGTCCTTATGACGGTTGCACTGCCCCGGGGTCACGTGACCACCAGTTATAAGCTCCCCAGCTGGTTTCTGAGCAGCAAACTCAATGGGGGGAAAGCCAGATTCGCTTCCGGAGGGTGTGATTCGCTTAAAAAACGCAGGAATCTGTTTAACAACGGTGCCAAGCAAGGTCGTAAAATGGGGCAAAACTTACTTCACAACTGCCTTCCTTAATTGCTAGTCTATTAATGTGTGATTGGTATATACAAGTTTAAATAGGTTATCCCTCTATAAGAAGCATAAAAACCGATGCCACATTAAAGGTACTGATGTTTTTCCTATTCTCACATCCTCTTCCTACTGAATTTTTTTTTTTTAAAAAAAATCCATTTTTCCTCAACACAACACATTTCCCCTCTAATGTCTGAAGGTTGAAAGTCTGCCATTGATAAAGGGCAACAATAAATGTTAATAAAAAGAACTTCCCACTCCTCAAAATTAGCTACCGGTTCTGCCGATGTGGTGCGAACCGGCTGAATCCCACCACTCTCTCTCTCTCTCTCTCTCTCTCTCTCTCTCTCTCTCTCTCTCTCTCTCTCTCTCTCTCTCTCTCTCTCTCTCTCTCTCTCTCTCTCTCTCT